AGTAGCTGGGACTACAGACATGCACCACCATGCCCGGCTAATTTTTTCTATATATTTTTAGTTGTCCGATTAATTTCTTTCTGTTTTTAGTAGAGACGGGGTCTCACTCTTGCTCAGGCTGGTTTCGAACTCCTGAGCTCAAACAATCCGCTCGCCTCAGCCTCCCAGAGTGCTGGGATTACAGGCGTGAGCCACCGCGCCTGGCCACTCCCATTTATTTTAAGTGCATACTTTCTCATACATCTTATGGATAGATGGATAGAAAATAAACAAACAGATCATATGTAGATATAAATAGGTATCTGCTTAGACAATGCTGTTTTCACAATCATGAACAATGATTTCTATTTTCATCTCCGAAACTAACTTATTATAGCAACACTTTACATCTTGAAGTGTGTTTCCATTTCGGTATGATACACATATATATTATATGTTTTTAATGAAATTTAATCTCATTAGAAGTAGAAGTTCAGTACCTATTTTGACATTTGTGATTAACTTCAAGTTGTCTTGTGCTGACTTCATTCAGTTTTTTTGTCAGGTATACTACATAATAGAAACACACTGAAAGCTTTCTATACTTGTATGTTTGGCATCAGTTTCTAGAACTTGGAAATTACGTCATTTTAATGTCTAGTACAAATAGAATATGTATACTCCACTAAAGATCTCCTACTAGTGTATATTCTGCTTTAAAGTCATGACAACTAAACTTTTCTCTTTGTGGTTATATTGATATGATATATAATTTTCATTCATTTTAGTTTGCTTTTAGTGATGTTGTGTCTGCGTCCATTGGCTCCTAATATTAATTTGTCCTGTTATAGTTCATGTTAATTTTATTCACTTGGTTAAGGTTCTCTCTGATAAATTTTTCCACTGTAGAGTTAATTATTTTTCTCTTAACTATTAATAGGTAACTTGTGAGGATTTACCAACTGATGTGCATAAACTATCACATTTAATCTGGAAGCTCCCTTTCTATTTAGATTTTCTTTGCACATAGCTTACTTTGGAAAATGAAGGCACTCGTATTTATTTTGTAGTCAGATGAACTGGAGTAAAGCCAGGTTCTGCCACTTACTGGACGTTTGAAAGACATTCCTCTTGGGCCAGAAGCATTGACATCACTAGTCAGCTTGTTAGAAATTCAGGTTTCACTCCATATCTCCTGAATCAAAATCTGCATTTGAACAATATCTCCACTTCGTTATTGTACACATTAAAGTTTGAGAGATACCTTTTGCCTCAGCATGACTTTTCCATCTGAAATATATACACAACTTATCCTGCATGATGTAATGTAGAACTTCAAAATGTAAATGTCTGTTTGGGTGCCTTGAATTTTATACCGTATCATCCAGAAAACTATACTACCTACACTGGATTTGTTGATCTTATGTCAGTTTCATTCCTCAGCGTTACAGAATACCTTACAGAACATTTTTGTGTTAAAAATTGTCTTTTTGAATAATTCCAGTCACTCATTTAGTTAAGAAACTGTTATCTTCCCTCTCTCATTTCACCTGGAGCCAAATTAAGAAGTCTTCCCATAGCCACTTTGTAAATATGTGTTTTTCTTTGAGGGACTGTTGACATTCAGGGATGTGAACATAGAGTTTTCTCCAGAAGAGCGGGCATGCCGAAACCTGCTCAGTGGAATTTGTATAGAAATGTGATGTTAGAGAACTACAGAAACCTGGTCTGCTTGGGTGAGGATAACTTCAAATGCACGATTTCTCTTCCACACTAAGGATTTCATATCCTTCCTCTGTGGGAAGTTTTCTGGGAGTTTCTGCTTTATATGAATTAATTTTAGGTCTGTGTTTCCAAGGAAATCTTGGGGATTTGTTCTATAGCAAAAATCTTCAAGATGTTTTATCTTGACTTTAATCTTACCCATTCTTGAGCTTATCTGTATCCTTTATTCTAGATTAGTAGTAATTTAAGAAATTTAGGGGCATAAAATATTATCTACACCTTAAAATTAAATTTCCAGCATCAGTTTTTGATTCACTAGTGCTGGGTAATAGAGATAGCAACCCACAAATTTTATTTTAGTTTAATTTAGTTTTGTTTTATTTTGCTTTTGTGACAGAGTCTTGTTCTGTCACCCTGGCTAGAGGGCAGTGGTGTCATCATAGCTTATTGCAGCCTGAAACTCTTGGGATCAGGCGGTCCCCCTGCTTCACCCTCACTAGTTGCTGGGACTATAGGTGTGTCCTACCATGCCTGGCTAATTTTTTAATTTTAGTAGGGATGGGGTCTCACTGTTGCTCAGGCTGGTCTCAAACTCCTGACCTCAAGCGATTGTCTTACCTTGGCCTCACAGAGTGCTAGGATTACAGGAGTGAGGCAACACACTTGGCCAAGACCCTCAAATTTTAAATATTTCCTAAATATTCTAAAGTCTCCATCAGGGAGTGGTATTTTTGATTAATTTTCTAAAATCTTGTATAATGTTATCTCTTTTCTACTGATCACAATACGACGTTGGTAATTGAAGAATCCTAGCAAGAATGATGTCATTGTTTTCTCATAAAACAGGTCTTGCTGTCTTTAAGCCAGACCTGATCACCTGTCTGGAGCAAAGGAAAGGGCCCTGGAACGTGAAGAGACATGAAACTTTAGCAGAACAGCCAGGTAGGTGGGAGTGAATGAAGCAGATGACACAGGTGAGAGGTCAAAGAGACAGCCAGACTTTAAATTGTTGTTTGGGCAGTTCTGCTCCAATGGAAATGGTTTCTGAGAAGCCTGTGTTTCTTTCTCTTAATCTCACTTGTGGGCATCTCTGTCCTTTGTTCTTAAGTTATCTAAGGACTTGACTTAGCGATCTTCAGTGATCTTCCTTCACATTTACAGTGAGAGTCAGAGTCCTTTTCATGGACAGTAAGGGACCACAGGATGTGACTGCTCTTCCATTCCTTTTCAAGAGATGGGAATATGTGTGTATTTCTGAGGAACTCTGTGACAAACTATGTTTTAATTTCCCTTTTTGCATCGTATCTGAAATGTCTTAGTGTAGTGGTGGTATTGGCATTTGGTTCAGAAATCCCAGAACACCTAAAGCAAATGTGTTTTCTGCTTTATTGTTTCCTATCCTATGGAAGTGTTAAAGCGATTCTACAGAAATTCATACTCAGTAATATTATCAGAACACTAAGTATCTGCCTAAATATAATAAAATCTAATGTTATTTTACTCCTAAATTCTGTTTTAGTGTGGACTGTGTTGAATGATAAACCCTACACACCCAAATTCTTCAAGTTTAATATATCTACTCCCTACATTTCTTAAATATTCTATGTCATTGGGCACCTTAGAATATTGCTCAGCCTATATTCAACTTCTGCATTTTACCTTTTTTTCCCAATTTTAAATAATCTTTACCGTCTTCTTTATTTCTCAATAACTATCATATTATAATTTTCTCTTGTTCGGTATGAAGCTTACTAGGACTGTGTCATTCATATATATGTTTATATATACACATTTATATGTATATGTATATATGTCTGTGATATGGACTTTCTTGACAAATAAAAGTTGTATAACTATACAATTATTGTAAACAATGTAATAACTTGATACGTGTGTACATTGTGGAATGGTTAGTACTTTCAAATTAATGGACATATCTAACACTTCACAGTTACCTTTTGTTGGTAGTCAGAACACTTAAGGTCTACTGTCATAACAGATTTTTAAGGTAAAAACCGTTATTATTAGCTATAGTCACAATGTTATACATTAGGTCCATAAAACTTATTCATCGTATTATATAAATGAATGTTTGTACCTTTTGAACAGTATTTCCTCATTTTTGCCACCTCAGGTTCTGGCAACCACCTTTGCACCTTCTGCTTCTATGAATAAAACCTTTTTAGATTCCCCATATAAGGGGGATCATGCAATATTTGGCTTTCTGTACCTGACTTATTTCAGCTAGTGTAATGTCCTCCCTGTCCATCTATGTCATTGAAATGGTTGAATAATATTTTTATAATCAAATAATATTCTATTGTGTATATATACCCCATTTCCTTTGTCCATTCAGCATTCACAAACATTTAAGTTGTTTTCATTTATTGGCAATTTTGAATAATTCTGCAGTGAACTTGGGAGTACACGTATTTATTTGAGATGCTGATTTTATTTCCTTTGATTATATACACAGAAGTGGGGTTGCTGAATTGTATGGTAATGCTATTTTTTTTTTTTTTAAGGATCCTCCACACTTGCTTTAAAAATGAATCTACCAATTTACAACTCACCAACAGTGATTTCTTTTT